GTCAGTATATTGTTACTCTGAAATACTGATTGAAAAACTAAAACAGAATTACTTATTCTTTAACTTGCTTATATTATGTCTATGTGCGCCACAATATGGAAGATTTCTTCTTCACCAACACACTGCACGCCTGTTCGTGCACTGCAGCAGGGCTAAGGGCTAAGTAGTGTATTGCACTACTTAGCCCTTGTGTTTAGAAATGGGGTCCATACCAACCGACCCCACACACGTAAAACTTTTATCATTTGCCACAGTTCTTTTTGTTTGCCTCAGTCCTCGCACGCACAAGGGTTAAAACAGCCTTAAATAATGTTTCAAATGCTAAGTTCATAAGTGCTTTGTAGACATCTTGCTGTAAAACTTTAGGATTGATTAAATTAAGAAAATTGAGACTAAACAAAATGGCAGAGCTTTATAATATTACTACATAAAGCTAATTTTTAAAGTTTCATCGGTAATACCTTTATAACAAATTCATGTCAGATCATGATTTCTTGGTTAATGACAAGTTGTCAGAACAAAGACATTTCGAATAATGTCAACTTTGTATTAAAAGTGTCATAATTTACCGAATGCCTCTTTATGGCAACAGTCATAACTATTCATGAAGACTTATTGATGTTCATGACAGGTGTTATGTCATGTTTATGACAGTGTCATGACCCTAAGCCTAACCCTTCAAATAAAGTGTTACTAAGTTTTTATTTTAAAAAAAAAATGCTTTCTTACAAATGGCTAAATTACTCTTAATCAACAAAATATCCATTGCAAAATTGCATACCAACAGTGCTTTCAAAGACCAACTGAATTGAAGTTTCAGTGTTACTGAGAGAAAACCATGCTTAGTTTTCTGCTTTTAATGACATCATCAAAAATGGCAGACTCTTAAATGCAGTACCTAAATTCCGCCACTAGATAACAACAACTGAACACTTCCATAGTATAAATGTCAACAAACTGACATACAACAGCACAGGCACACTATTCTCAAGAAGGGTTTTAGTGCATTTACTCAAGGTATTTTTAAAAGGGGTGGTTCAGGTGCTTTAAAAAAAGTTTTCATCATTCACTTTTTTTTTCAAATGCTACGTAAGCGCCACTTAAATTGTCACTTAAATATAATAATCGTAAGTCTTTAACATTGACACTAACTGCTAAGGTCTTTGGTATGCAAACATGACTGTAGCAATTTTTGAAAAGTAGCACTGACAGATAGAAATAGCTCTCTAGATGTGCTGCAGTAGGAAAATCTGATGAGGGAGCACAGGTAGTCAGAACACTGGCGCACACTGCTCACATACAGGGGGTATATGACAACATGGGGAGACAGAGCCAACACGCAGATGGCCCTTGATGAGTAATTATTGAGACATTTTATAAGCAAGAAAAACTGGTATGGAGCAGACCAAAGAGCTAAGTATGAATCAAGGTATGAAAACAGAAAATCTGTCACGAACAGTTAAAATTCCAGAGCTTATATATGAACAGCGGATCAGGTGAAATATCACAACTGAATGGCATGATTAAAGATTACTGGTAAGTGTGAATAAGGTAGAATTGGGAGGCAGACCAACAACATGAGAGAAACTACTGGGGCGATAACAATAAACCACTTGTACTTGGTTTATTGTACTTGGTTTCCTGTACCATGGAAACCAAGTACAAGGTTTGTCCCAGTGTGTTTTAATCCTGATGGGTGAGGGAGTAGGAGGCAGATAGGGAGAAGAGATTGGCAAAAATGGGAGCCAATGAATTTTAGCAGCACTGTTCTGGAACCACAGTCTCTGACATGTGGCAAACTTAAACACAGCAACATAATACCTTAAGGATAACACTGCATATAATCAGCAATACATTAAGCAAGCATGCAATAGAAGGCGATTAACACAGTCCACAAATTCTTCATTAGCTTGAAGTCGAAGTCTTGAAAAGGCTAATCCACAATTGATATTATCTTTCTTTATAGCTCTATGCATGTTTCTTTTTAAATTGCTAGCCAGAATTTTTTTTTTTTTAAACTTGGAAGTGTTAATTTGAGAACTTCTAGAAAAGTGGTTTGATTATCCGGTTTCAAGTTCTTCAGAAGTACAAATCTGTTTAGACCTCTACTTCCAGAAGCCTGCTGAAGCCAGGCCTCTGCATTCCTGTACCATCCAGAATTTTTAATGGAAACTTTTTGATGACTGCAAAACCTTGTGGTATTGGATTTTTAACTAAGTATTAGAGGATGTAAATGTACATGTCATTCTTTATAATACGCTTTTAAAGCTGTTTGGACTTGTGAAAATCTGCAAAAATTTTTAACTTTTGCAGCCAGTTCTTGGTTATAAAATGTATGTCTATTGTTTACTGTATATTCACTCAACTCTGAAAGATAAGTGGTAATAACTGACCAAAAGGCCCATAATTTAAATGCTATTCATGCCCTCAGTGATTAAACTTCTGATTAGAAGTGTCCTTTCTTGTCTCCTTTAGTTTTAGCAAAACCATCTGTGTTAATAGGCATCAGAATAAATTGGCAACAATGTGTATGTGTACAGACTCGTGTGCTGGTGACTCATGGTTTGAGCTTCCTACCACAAACTGATCTGATACTGGTCATGGTAGACGGGGAGATCACAGAAGTAGGCTCCTACCAAGAGCTTATGGTCCAGGAGGGAGCCTTTGCCGAGTTCCTGCGAACGTATGCCACTGTTGACCAAACTGAAGATGGTGGTAAGCAACATTTCATCATTTCAACATGTTCCAGTTGCCAGTTCTAGGAGTTGTTTTTTTTTACTCTCCAGAGAAAGTTGCTAATTTTGCCATGTGGAGGCTTCAATAGTATTTCTGTTATTAATCTTAATGCTTCCTATAGTGTCTGTAGAAGGGCCTAATTTAGATGTAGACCCTCCATTACGAAGTTTTCATTTTTACTTTCTGTCTTAGATTTTAAAACTGCACCAAAGAGTGGATCCAAAGCAGTAGAAAATGGTGATCTACCTGCTCTTATTGGGTGAGTGAATCTGGATAACATGACAAGCTCTAGATATGCAGTTCTGATCTGAGGTTTACATCCATGCATTTTAGGCATTAAAGTCTTTTTATTTTGGCCTTTTAGTGAGGTTTAATGGTCAGTGAAATCTGGGAGATTGAGGTGTGAGGTTACTGAGGGCTTTGTAAGTGAGGAGTAGTTTGTATTGTGTCTGGTATTGAACGGGGTGATGTGGTCAATGGAGCACAGTTCATGTAGGATACTGTTTCAGGAATGGAGTTTATGAAACCGTGGAAATGAGCAGTGAAATGAGTAGCATTGCATTGGTGGAAGAAAGACGTCTTTAAAAAAACCGGGCCTGAACCCTGACAACATGGACAGTTTCAGACTGCATACAGGAAGTTGCCTGCAGAAAATCCAGGGTGATAGAGAGGCTATTCACTGAAATGATTACACGTAGAAGGCCTGCCTACAAAGTCGTATATTCACCTTTTTGGTAACTACCAGGATACAGAGAAGTAACTGCATCATTGATGAGCCTCACAGCGTGTCATTTAAGCACTCAACTGCAGACTCGTTCCTCCAACTCTGGCTGTCAGCCCTTGTTTAGTTTCCTTCGCAGCAGCAAAACGGTAATGTTTAATCCTCGTTTTAATGTCCGTCAGTATGATTTAACATTTGAGGCATCAGTAAATAATAAAGTGTCAAAACTTTTGACAAAGTTCTGGCTTGATATATAAACACTCTTCTTACCAGAAGTGCTAGGGTACATATGAACTGGATTATATCTTGGAATAGATGTAGCTTTTACACCTGGTTTACAATTTTTCAGTAGGTTTGAGGTCAAAGCCACTTCAGACGCTTCATGTTAGCCTGCTTTGATCCAATCTAAAACCACTTTTGATGTGTGTTTGGGCTCATTATTTAGTTTGAACATCCAGCTGAGTTTCAAATGTTTTTTACCAAACATTTGTCATGATATATAGAATTTTTTGACAGTTACGAGCCTGTGTGCTCCTTTTTCTGGGTAGTGGGCCGGCTGTTAAGACTGAATCCCAAAAGCCCCATAAGACTGATGATGCCAGAGAACTGAACAAGAAGACCAAGAACCCTGAGATGGGGAAGCTGACCGAAGCTGACAAGGCCAGTACTGGACGGGTATGTAGAGTAAAAATCAGCAATATGTTTTGTACATATTGTTAGATCCTTTATTGAAAATAATATTTTTGAAAACAGTATAAACGTCTTCTGGAAGTTACTAGGCCATAAAAATGGAGTACGTACACCCTCAGATTGACAGCAGCATGTTCCATATAACACTGCATTGTTTCCTAACAACAGCAACTGTAGCGTAGTTGTCTTACAATCAGAAGGTATTAGCTTCAATTCCAGCTTTCTCCTGTCATATGTTGATTTTCCCTGGGCAAGGCACTTAACCCAAAGAGTAGTTAACAAGCTGGTACTTATACTTCACACAATAACTTTTGATAACAAATATATTTTATTTTTAACAGGGTGGCTCTTCTTCATATTAAGCCTATAGTCCCTCTGACTGTTTTAATAAATCATAAATAGAGCATGACATACAGATTTGTCTTTGAGTGCTTTAGCAAATTACTAATTGAAAGCATTGAAAGTAGTTGCTAGAATTTAGATCCATAACCTGAGTCTGACCCAAAATTTATGGTAGATCGGGCTTCTGTGGCCCATTTAATAACCTTACAATATACAGAGAAAGACAATGCCCAATAAGGTTGTGTCGTTGTACTAGTAGTCGAAATAGAGGAACACATAACTTACCCTTACCTTGTTAAGGAAGCAAAGAAAATGAATGTACAGATGTTCATTAAACTGTAATGAGCACAAATTCTCATGCGCCTCCACTCCAATCAACCTCGCATCGCTCTCTGAGAGCTGTGCATTAAAGAGATATGGACAAGAGGCTTTAGAGCTCGACTCGTGCAGCTGAACCGCTGCTACAGGATTATTCTACCAACTGAGGGAGTGTTTGTGGGATCAGGTAGCATTCAGAGTCTTGCTGACTTCTAGTAAAATGTTACCTTTAAAAGTGTTGTCACTACAGAGAAAAAGTTAAATATATTAAGTTTGATGATGACACAATGTGAATTATCTGTTCATTTTGTTGAATATTAGTTAAACAGAATGAAAATGAAATGCATTTAAATATAATTATCTTTTAAAAAAATGATAGGTAAAAATAGAGTATAACAGGATTTTTATTGACACTGTTCATGAAAATGACAGACAGCAAAAAAGTCTAGCGCAACCTCCTCTCCAAACTGCAGACATTCTTGAATTGTGTAGTCATAGAAAGTTCAACCAAGCTCCAAAGTCTACAATTTCCTTCTTTAAAAAGAAGTAGGCTTTGCAACAGTGAAACAAACCTCTTTCTTTAGACATTCCTTTGGTTCGCTATGAGTCCTGTTAAATTCTCCCTTTCTCTCTCGGAAAAGGGAGAAAATAAGAACGTCTTTTATAGAGCAGAAAACGGTGTCACTGAATGCTTCAGCATCAAACACTCCACAGCACTTTGTCAGGGTGACCAAGCATACTAAATGGAATCAATTTTATTTAAGAAGAATCCCATGTAGTCATGACAAGCACTTTTACCACACATCTTCATATTACTATTTAACAGCAACAATGGAGACAAAGGATGACCAAGCCCTCAGTCCTGTTGGTCAGACGGTGATTATTTTATTTAAATTCTACTAAGGCGATCCATAAAATCATCCTGTACAAAAAATGAATGGAAAGAGGCTGTATTTCCATAAATGTTACCTGTCATTTAAGCAATCAGTGGCAGATTCTAGATGCTCTTCCTCTTTAGGTGAAGCTGTCTGTATTTTGGGCCTATCTGAAAGCCATCGGTGTACTTCTGTCCTGCATCAGTCTGCTGCTGTTCCTCACCCATCACCTGGTCTCCCTGTTCTCCAACTACTGGCTTAGCCTGTGGACTGATGACCTGGTAGTTAATGGCACTCAGCCTTACAGACTTAGGAGACTTGCTGTGTACGGTGGCTTTGGCCTGACCCAAGGTAAGTCAGAAAATAAGGCTCTGTGTTTGCATTATAGTTGAGTATTTACTGTGCCTTGTATTCATACTCTGTCAAGATTTTGTATTTTGTTGATACTTTAGTATATTTTTAATGGGATTTCTTGTGACAGACCAACAGAATTTAAGGGAGATATGTTTAGATTTTTTTTTTCTGATAGAAATCTGCAAGTATGATTTGCTTTTGTATTCAGCATTCAGCAGTAATTGCATTCCTCCAATATTTGATGTTTGTAGGTCAACCTTAGTGAACAAACTACATCATAAAGACCAAAGAACACAGCAAAGTAAAGAACTTTAACTAGCTTTGAACAAAATCAAGCTCATTTCTGAAATACTTTATTACTCTGTTATTATATAGCAAGTTTAATAAAGAGGATGCTCAGGGTTGCCATACTGTTCTTCATTTTATGAAGAGTCCCTCCTGCACCATTATCTCCAATTGTTCCAGAGCAATCCCCAGAACAGAACCAGCCTTCATCAACTAGTTATTTTTATTTAGTTTAGTAGCTTTGATGCTGCTACCTCAACAGATGATGGGAGAAGAGATTACATACTCCAGAGCAGACTTAAGGAACATCAGAAGTATCTTGCTACAAATGCTGGGTGACCTGTGCTTTCTCAAGACATATGGTCTGCTCTGTTGCTTCTTTTAGATGTTTTCATTGTCTGTTGTCCAGGTGAACATTGAGGTATTTATTCTCCTCAGCCACCTCCAATTATGGAAATAGTATTTGACTTAACCCAGTTTCTCTTGAAGTCTCAAATAATCTACTTTGTTTTGTTCACATTCAAGATCAGACAGTTATTTTCACACCATCCCACATCTCTTAAATCACTGTTTTGTCGTCTCTTATATACCTAATGACAATACCTAAGAAGTTTCCCGTTTTGGCTGGGAAACTACCGTATTAGTATTTTCCTGTAAATTTCCCATAGTAAAATATGATGGGTTAGGGTTAATTTAATTTTAATTTAATTTCTGAATTAAGTCACTATCCTCACAAGAATTTTCACCTGCAGTAGTCTCTGAGGCACTTCTTGCAAGGTTAGTGCCAACAGCAGGAACACTTGAGGTGTTGTGCCAGAAAGTGATGTACTATTTGATACTAGTTATCAAATGTTACAGTGAACTCAATGAATTGTTAATTGTAGTTAAAAGGTTTACCTATCCATTAAGGAAACCTCGCAGTTTGCATTGAATTATTGACTGCAACATTCACTCCTGGATGAGCAAAAAAGTTCCTCGTGTTGGGTTGTTGACTTTAGAGAAATCCTTAATACCAAACATTCATGACAGTGGAGAGGAAAAACTCCGCTCTAACAGGAAGAAACCTCCAGCAGAACTAGAACCAGAACCTCGCTGAGTACAAGCGACAGACTGGGGGTTTGAAAAGTCTGAGAATAATGCACAAGAAGAAACGGATGAACTCATGTAGGATTATTTTCAATGTTCATGAAAATAGTTAATATCAGGAGGGGAGGATGGTTAGCTGAGATGACAACATCATCTCAGCTGATGCCGTCATCCAGGTTCGGGTTTAGCTTCTATGAAGAGAAAAGTTGAAATAACACCAAATAATGTAAACTGGAAAGCAGTACAGGAAAATGGATGATGGAGGTTCATCAGACAGGGTCTTTATATGTGAGAAAAAGAATCTTAAATTCTATTCTGGATTCAATAGGATACCAATAAAAGGAAGATGTAATAGGAGAAATATGATCTCTTTTTTATTTTCATCAGAACTCTCAGTATCATTTGTGGACATGATATTTATAATTTTGGCAATTTTCTAAAGGTGAAAGAAGGAAATCCTAGAAACTTGCTTGATGTGGGGCATATACTGGTTAAAAATAACATGGAGGTTATTTATTATAACTGGATAGTGAATTTTTTGAGTAAAGCCAATTTGTTATAAGAGTATTAAAGACTAAATTTAGACTATCACTTTCAGTGTCAACATGAATGCTTTAGTTCCCCATTATATTGATATTATCAGTATTTACCACTAAATAAAATAAAAAATCTGAGCTATGGTCTAAAGATAGAGTAAGACCCTGGTGGACAATATAAAACTACAAGCAAATGTGGTTTTAGTTCTTTGAAAATCAGGAGGAAAACTAAGGAGTAGATGTTCAAAAGAACAATAGCTATAAATAGGCATAGGATTAATGAGCAAATCTCAATGTAAAATATTTGCTTGGGGTTCTGTGGTGGTGCAGGGGTAAAGCAAAACCCACGTAGTCCTTAGTCCTTGACGTGGCCATTGCAGGTTTGAGTCTCGGTCTGGTGACCCTTGCCACATTTCTTCCCTCTCTCTCTTTCCTGTCTGACCACTTTCAAATAAAGGCCACTAGAGCCAATAAAAAAAAGAAAAACATTTGCTTCCGCTCCACCTCATCCTGTACTTTAAGTAATGTGGACATTTAAATAATTTGAAGTGGTTGATTCATTTCTGACCCTCTGACCTTTGGATCAAAGGATGATGGAAATATTTTTTGGCTGTGAACAGTAGAGGGGATTGTTGAGCTTGGTCCAGAACTGTCTGTTTAAACTGACAGGCTGGAAATAGAGAACTATTATCACAGAATCAGAAAGAGGGCTGAGAATAACTCTGGGGGAGCTGAAAATATCAACAGCTGAAGTGACCGAACAATTTCTTGGTCACTCTGTACATCATGAACAAAGAGTGTCAAAAGAAAGCAAATGTTGACGGAAAGCCATACGTAGTCCTGTTTGAACTTTGTCTCCAGCATGGTCTCTGATTGTGATTGTCATACAGAATGTGGAAAAAAAAAATCAAGGGGCAATCCATATCTTTACACAGAACTGTGTTTAAAGTCATTCATTCAGCATTATAAAAGGTCATAATTTTTACTGTTACCTTGTAGGTGTAGCAGTCTTTGGTTATTCCCTCTCCATGTCCATTGGGGGCATCATGGCGTCCCGCTACCTCCACCAGTCCTTGCTATATGATGTGCTGCGCTCACCCATGTCCTTCTTTGAGAAAACTCCAAGTGGTAACCTGGTTAACCGCTTTGCCAAGGAGATGGACACCATTGATTCTGTAATCCCCAGCATTATTAAAATGTTCATGGGATCCTTTTTCAACGTGTTGGGTTCCTGTGTCATTATCCTGTTTGCCACACCACTTGTGGCTATCATCATTCCTTTTCTTGGGTTGCTCTACTTTTTTGTGCAGGTTAGTTAAAAATACATCCTGTATTTCTGCTGTGTGCAGCTCTGATTTGCTCTTAGATGTGATTAAAATTGTTGAACATTATATTGCTTGTTTGTGTACAGAGGTTTTATGTGGCAACTTCTCGCCAGCTGAAGCGTCTGGAGTCTGTCAGCCGTTCACCCATCTACACCCACTTTAACGAAACATTGTTGGGCACCTCTGTCATTCGAGCTTTTGGTGAGCAGGAGCGATTCATCCATGAGAGTGACCAGCGAGTAGACCACAACCAGAAGGCCTACTACCCCAGCATAGTAGCTAACAGGTTAAGAGCAGTGCTACTTTTCTCTTCTCTAATTCTTATTAAATGTACTCACCCTCCTATGTGTTTGAACTTTTGGTAACACTTTATTTGACGGGTTGTGCATAAGACTGACATGACACTGTCATAAATATGACATAACACCTGTCATGAACACAAAAGAATCTTTATGAATGTTGTCATTGAGTGTCATTTGGTAAATAATGACACTTTTAATGCAAAATTGCTTTAAAAGTTG